GCAAAGATCACAGATCAAAGATCACACTGGAACCCCATGCAAAAAATAGGCAATGGTTTTCTCTTCTAGATTTCACCGAACCATTTTTGTGATTGATCTTGGGTGATGGCCTTCAGAACATGCTTTGATGGCACAGAAGGCACACACAATTTAAAGGTGTTATGATGAATTTGAAGGGAGAATTTAATTTCAAATGTATTGAGGATGAGCCACGAGGACAAACAAGAAGAAAAACTAATTGAAAACATCACTGCTTTGCCAGACTTATGCCTCAGTGGTGATCATATGATAGAAGGAATGCAAAAACCAGCAAATGAGTTTGCCACCAGGAAGCTGTGAAGTCAGTAAGCAACCCAAGAAGCAGGCCTCAATAAAGAAATTATCATGCAATACTATTGCCAATAAGTATCTAGGACATAGTGCAAGAAGCAAACTTAGAAGACTACATTACACTATTATGCAGGAAAAGTGAGAGTAGAATGAAGGACAATTGTTAAAAAAGTTTATTATTACATAGGCATCAGACTCAAGTCCCACAAGGTTATTAGGCAGTTACTTATAGCCTGTTTAGAAGTCCAAGGATCACATTTGCAGTTGATTGTTCCAGGCCAATAAAATATTATTGGGGTCCAAATTATGTATAAATAAGGCTTCTTGATAATATTCTATTTCTAATAGTGTCAATAAAGCAAGACAGGGAGAAAAAAGAGAAAAATCCAAACAAACAACATAAAAAAGTCAAGGAAACACCATGCAAACCTAATTTTCCAAATAAAAAAATAGAAAATCTTAGTATGTGATGTCTTGCAGTCTGCTCTAGTGATGTCAGCTTGACATGGATGACAAAAATCTTTCAGAAGATTTTAAAACTATTCTTACAATGTACTAGCTAGGATAAAACCAGCCCATCCAAAAAAAAAAAAAAAAGACAAAGAAATAACAATAAGGTTCCTTATTCTTACAGGTACCTGTGTAAGAGGTGTCATTTTTATGATCTCTATCCTTTGGAGGGGTAACTCCAGGTAGTGCAACATCTTTGGAGGTAGCTGTAGAATACTCGTTTCCATTGCCCCTTTCAGGAGGAATATTATGCCAAACAGACTCTTGGGTTGAGGCTTCAGGTCTGGAGGTCACAGCTGTTCAGCGATGATGAAGCAATTGGGAGCTTAGTAACTGCAAAGCCACTAGACACCTTATTCTTGTATTAATTCCTCTCCCTCCCATACCTGGCCTTTCCCATTAACATTTCTGCAGTCTCTAGAACACAAGAGGAGAAAGGCAGAGAGAGCCTTTTCATCAGATTTACAGCAACTCTGGCTGACTCAGATGATTAATTTACTCTGGGGCTTAACCTGTCCTCTCTGAGTACAGCTATGGAAGCAGGAAGGGGGAAAGCAATGTACCAGCTTCCACTGGAAACTCAAGTTTCTGTGAATCCCTGAGGTCAAGTCAGTGGAACAGTCAGAACAGCTCTCATACAGCAGCACACTTCACTGGACCTACACAACCAGATCACATCATATGGTGATAAGAAACGGAAGTCTTGGGTTCCTGGCAATGCAGGAGAAAGTCATGGCATTTAGGAATCACTGGGCTAGGACTGTACTCGCAGGGTAACCCGACCAACGAGGGCATGCAGATTTTATCTGGCTTAAGTGAATCCCTGTCTGCCTCAGAATAAAAATAGCATGATAGCAAAAGATTTATCAATTACTGTAATGCTTGGAGCCACAAATTGTTATGCTTGGGAATCCTGTTTACCACTATTCAACCACTTCTTCTCACAATAGAGCAAAAAGGCAGGGGAAAGGCCCATAAGAATAACCCATGGTCTTCTTTCTCCTCCTTCGATAAAAGAATGGAGAAGTTAATGGAGACAGGAATTTTTTCTTTAGCTGACTCCATGCAATGAGGTCTAAATGAGGCTTAGTAGCAAGATATTGAAATAGATCTAATAGTAAAAGAAGCCGTATTCAGAAGAAATAATGTCTCATTTCACACAGGGTGGTGAAATGGCCACAGTCCATTATTCTTACTGGTACCCATATGAGAAGATTCACTTCCTTCTTCATTTCCATTTGGTGGAGCAGTTTCATGTGACACATGTTCCCTCGAAGTACTAGGGGGAGGTTTGGCCTCAGGTTCCCATCCTGGTTTATGAGCTGGTGTCAGAGAATCTTGGGTTGTGTCCTCAGGTTTGGCATCAGTGAAGAAAACTGCTGTTATGATGATGGTTGAATGAAGGTGAATGAAATATTTGCAGAACCATCATGCCACCTATAATTCTTTCACCCGTAATTCTTCTCTTTACATTTCACTATTATCTTTTACAACATTTCAACTGTTTTTAGAGCACAAAATGTGGGAAAAAGAAGAAAGGGCTTTATGTGTTCTTTCACACTGTTCAAGGTTTCTCAACTCTTTAACCTTTAACTCTTTAACACCTTTTTGCTGATTTCAAGCTGTGGCATTATTGAGAAGAGTCCCAGTGGCAATGCCCACAGAAGAAAGACCAAAAGAGCAGAAAGATGAATCTACTTGATTCAAAAACTCAGAAGAGTTCACAGCTATGGTGCTGCAGAATCACTTCCAACAAATACAGCAATGATTTTCCTTTGAGATTTCATCAAATCATTTTTGCAATGGAAATGATAGCCTTTAAAACATGCTTGGGTGATACGGGAAGCATACACAATATGAAAGTTGTAATGAATTGGAATGGAGAATTTCACATCAATTACAACATTTCCATCCCTCATTGTGCAAACAGCACTCTAAAATAAAAAAAAGATTGCAGGTGAGATAGGGGGACAAGGAAAGGGAAAAGTCCTCAATGCTGCACCAGACCAACATTCTCAAATTGCAAGTACACGAAAGCATAAACTCAGTGGTGATCATACGATAGTTAGCAGGAATAAAGGAAGCAGGAAGCGAGTTTACCATCACCCAGATGTACACCTTGCATACAGAACAGCAAACAACCCAAGACCCTTATTAAGAAGTCATCATGCAATAAGCATCTAATACAGAGAGGCAAACTAGAAAACTACATCACACCAATTCCAAGAAATAGAGTATCAAGAGCGGTGATAGTTAAAATGCCTATTAGTACCAAGGGAAACCCAGATTCACATGCTACAAGGTTATTATGAAACAGTCTACATGGGACCTATTTAGAAGTCCAGGCTCTACATTTGCAGGTGCCCAGTCCAATCAAATTAACTTACAATTTAACTTAAATAAACGTAATCCAGTAACACAGGGCAAAGATAAGAGAAGATTCAAACAAATAACTCCAAAACATTGGGGAAGAGCAAAAGAAACAACATTTATCAACTAAAAAAAAATTAAATCCCTGAATAGCTTGTTTCCTAAGATACAGTGAAACCAACTCAGTGAGACTGATGAAAATTTATCAGGAGGTTTTTAACCTATTGTAACTGTGACATAGCTCAAACAGAGTATTACAAACATCCCATCCAGAAGGAAAAACATCACAGTTCATTATTCTTACAGGTACCTGTATGAGAGGTGTCATTTTTATGATCTCTTTCTCTTAGAGGAGTAACTCCAGGTAACGCAACATCCTTGGGGGTAGTTGTAGAATACTCATTTCCATTGTCCCACTCAGGGGGAATAGCATGCCAAAGAGGCTCCTGGGTTGAAGCTTCAGGTGTGGAAGTCACAGCTGTTACAGTGATAATGAAGCAATTGGGAGCTCAATAACTGTAAAGCCACTGGACACCTTATTCTTTCCATTAGGTTTTTTTTCCCCACCCACACACCTGGCATTTTCCCCACTATACCTTGGCAAAAGGCCAAGCAGCACAAATTAATACCACCTTTGTCACGGCCACAAGCTTTGGGCATTTGGGATGCAAGAAGAGGCGTGAATGTCTGTTTTCTTGACATTTGTGATACGACAGACGGTATCCTTTTCCACCCTCAGGTTTTTCTCAAGTCAATGGAACCAGCCAAAATAGCTCTCACACAGCAGCATGCTTAACTGGACTTACTCACCAAATCACACCACCATTAAGGCATGATGACAAGAAATGGAAGGCTTAGGTTCTTGGCAATGCAGGAGAAAGTCATGGCATTTAGGAATCACTGGGTTAGGACTGCTGTACTTGCAAGGCAACCTGACAGTTGAGGGCATGTGGGATGTCTTTGGTTTAAGTGAATCCCTGGCTGCCTCAGAATAACAATAGCATGATAACAAAAGATTTATCAATTGAATATAATGCTTGGACCCACAAATAATTATACTTGGGAATCTTGTTTACCACTATTCAACCACTTCTTCCCAGTATAAAGCAAAAAGGCAGAAGAAAAGCCAATAATTGTATCCTTTCCACCATCCTACCATGTCCAAAAAGAAAAAAGGAATGGAAAAGTTAATGGAGACAGGAATTTTTTCTTTAGCTGTTTCCATGCAATGAGGTCTAAATGAAGCTTAGTAGCAAGATGTCGAATTAGCTCTAATAGCAAAAGAAGCTGTATTCAGAAGAAATAATGTCTCATTTCACACAAGGTGGCAAAATGATCATAGTCCATTATTTTTACTGGTACCTATATGAGAAGATTCACCTCCTTCTTTTTTTCCATTTGGTGGAGTAGTTTCACGTGATACATTCTTCCTCGAAGTACTAATGGGATGTTTGGCCTCAGGTCCCCATCCTGGTTCATGAGCTGGTGTCAGGGAATCTTGGGTTGAGCTTTCATCAGTGGAGACAACATCTGTTATGATGATGGTTGAGTTTACTGTATATGTAATATTTGTAAAACTACCACCTACAATATGTTCATCCTCAGTTCTTCTCTCCACATTTGATCATCATGTTTACAACACTTCCACCATATTTAAAGCAGAATAAGAGAAAAAGGGGGACTTTTTCTTTTTATTTATACTGCTTTTGTGTGGTTTTTTTCATGTTTTTAACCCATACTTGCTCAGGGGTCTAGAGTAGAGACAGCGGGAACAAAAGAAAGAGTATGAAAAAAGCAGGTTGCAGCAATACTTTGACTTTGTAGCTTAAGAGTGATCAGAGATGGAATATACTGGCACCATATACAACAACCATGGTAATGATTTCACTTTTGAGATTTTATTGATTGAGATTTTATCGTGCTTTCATTATGCATACATCAATTTACATAGTGGCATTCTTTAGAACATGCCGCAGTGCTGAGAAAAGGCACATATATCATAAGAGACTACGATCAATTAGAATAGAGCCATGGTTCTCAACCAGTGTTCTTGGGTACCTGGAGTGCTGAGATCCTCCTCTCATAGGTGCTATGTATGGCAGTGGCCAGGTAAAACTGTCCCATGTGCATTCCTGCTGCATTATGGCTGTGACCCTTAAAAAAGGTATAGGAGCAAGCTTGGCTGTAGCCCTTTCTGATCTGGTCCCTTCCACCTGCATGCCTGTTTCCAGGAGGAACATAGGAGAGGCTGGACTGGGAAGAGCTACCCAGCACTAGGCAGCTCCTGCCTGCTTTAGACTGATTACAGTCCTAACGCAGCAGCACTGTGCACACATGCCACAGCCCTTCCCAAGATGGCTGTGCAGCAGTCTTGTGGAGCAAATTTATCTGGAGACAGCAGAACCTGGTTGTGAAGCACCGAGGTAAGCTGAGGCAGCACCAACAGTGGTTCTTAACTGGGGATGCCACTACATTTTAGAAAGCGGTAGAGCGGTGCCCTGACCTTGGAAAGATTGAGCACCACCGGAATAGAGAATTCATGGTATTCATGTTACTACAATTACTGTGAAACCCTCTGTCCTCATTAGCCAAAAAGCCCTCTTGTATGAGGGGATTGCTGCTGAGCTACCAGGACATACAGTCAGAAAGTCTCACTGAAAAATACCACCACTCACCAGATTTACATTCCTTAATTGCAAGCACACCAAGGTTAGTCGGAATAAAGGAGCTAGTGAATGAGTTTGCCATCACCAAGCTATCCACCTTGCAAAATGACCGGCATACAGCCCAGTAAGCATGCCTTACTAAAGAACTAGCTGACAACATTACAGTGATAAGCATCTAATACAAATCAAGAGAGGGAAAATTGGAAACCTCCATCACACCAGTACCCAGAAACTGACAAAGTAGTGAAAACAGCCATTGTTATAATATCTAGTAGAAACTATTCAAATCATGCAAAGTTATGAATTAACTTGAGAACTATCCACTATATACATTTGCAATTTACCAGTCACACCAAATAAAAGATTAGTGGCAAAATTAGGATGTAAACCAGGGGCAGGCAATTATTTTGGGCAGAGGGCCACTTACTGAGTTTCGGCAAGCCATCAAGGGCCACATGACAGGCAGCCCAGGGCAGATTAATATTCATTTTCTAAATTTTTTAGGGGCCCCATAGGCCAGACAGAATGGCTTGGTGGGCCGCATCCAGCCCCCCGGCTGCATTTTGCCCACCCCGATATAAACCAAGCCTTTTTCTTACAGCATTGTATCTGTAATATGTATTAACCCAGAAACACAGACGGGAAAAACCAGGGGAAAAAATATTAATAATGCCCCTGACAAAAGTCAGAAAACATCAAAACAAACAATTCCATAATATGGAACAAAGTTTTGTTATACTGATTTCCTATAACCAGATGTTGTGACATCAGGTTGGCACGTATTGCTATAATTCACCAGAAGATTTTTAACCTATTATAGAAGAATCACTAACATCAAGAATTGAAGCCATCCCAACCGTAACGGAGAAGTAATAACAATACTGAGCCACAATAATGAACAACAGTTCATTATTCTTACAGGTACCTGTATGAGAACTGTCATTTTTATGATCCCTTTCCCTTGGAGGAATAATTCCAGGTAGAACACCATCCTTGGGGGTAGTTGTGGAAGACTCATTTCCATTTCCCCATTCAGGGGGAATACCATGCCAAAGCGACCCTTGGGTTGAGGCTTCAGATTTGGAGGTCACATCTGTTACAATGATGATGAAGCAATTGGGAGCTTAATAACTGTAAAGCTTCTAGCCACCTCATTCTCATCATTTGTTTTTTCCATCTATACCTGTCCTTTTCCAGTTAACATTTTGCAGAGGTCTTTAATCATGAAAGCATGTTTCATTTCAGCATGGGCTTTCTCAGCTGTTTAGTTAACCCCACCTGAGAACTGGGGATTAACACCTTTGCTAGGAGTATCTAGGTAGAAGTGAGAAGGGGGAAAGCAGCAATACACGCTTTCTGTTAGATCTCAGTTTTCTGTTCAATCCCTGAACCTCAGACAAGGACATGTCTACACGTGTGCTTTAATGCATATGACAGTGTCATGTAAAAACTGTGTAGTTACGCTAATACATAGTAAAATACACTACTGCACATTAAGCATCACTTAAAAACCATGTACATTTGTTACTGAGCATTAAGGCACCCAAATGTGCATTTGTTTTCTACGTCACGATGGAGGGCATTTGTACACGTTTGCGCCACAGTGCTGGATACTTTTAAAAGTGGCCGGCACTCCAATGCATGCAATTGTATAAGTGGCAAACTGCGCATCAGTACTGAGAAAATGCCAGCAGCTGCTTTTGAACTAAAACACATTGGAGGTGTTTTAGTTCAAAAGTGCACCATCGCGATTTTCTGCACATTGATGCATATTTCACCACTTACAAAACAGCAGCGCGCATCAGCTTGATTAATCAAGTCTTCTCCGCACATGAGTCTGCTTCAACCTGCCGGAGCTCTGGCACATCATGGGATGAAAAGGTATGTATATAAATGCCCAGGCATACTAAATTTAATGTGCATTTAGGTAATGCACATGTAGATACACCCTGGGAGTAGCAGTCAAAATAGCTACCCAACAGCAGCAGTCTCTCATTGAATTTATACTTCCAGATTACAACTTAATTAAAGCAATGACAAAAGAAATTCTTAGGTTCCTGGTAATGTAGGAGAGAAGCCAGTTTTCTCATAAAATAAAATCACTGACCATGTAATCCAGACAGTGCTCTTTACTATAAATTGTAGTCACACCAAATGACTAAACATTTAGGAAAGGTCATGAATAATACATTACCAACAGATTCACCTTCCCAAATTTAAACTGTTAAAACTGAAAGAAAACTATAACTATATTAAATTAGGATAAGGGAAAGATCACGCTGCGTAGCTTGAAATATACTTAGTAAACCTTTCTATTTTATATCATAGAAGGAATAACTAATTGATTCAACAGCAAAATGAGACTAACCCATCACAGTGATACCAAGAAGGGTACACACTACTGTGAGACACAGTATTAAGGACATAGATTTATTTTTGAAACATGGGGGATTATCCTCTGGGGATGTCATTGAAAGCATAGGTTAAATTATTTATCTGATATTTCTGCTAGGCATTTTCATTTGTTAACTGCTAGTATGCTAGTAAGGTAAAAAGCAGTTCTTCTGAAGCAAGAATGTGCATGTCTTAGCTGCAGGAAAGAAGCAAGACTATATTCCAATACAAAAATCTAGTAGATAAGGAACCAAACAAAAAGAGCTCACAACGTAACCAACTCATTTCTTATTTCCTGTGGTATAAATGAAATGTTTTCACTATGTGCCTCTTACATTTATCAACAACAGAAAAAAAAATATAACCCAGATATAGAAGGACTAATGTCATCCAAAAATAGAAGCTAAAATACATGTAATTCATTTTTCTTAAAGGTACCTCTATGAGTAGCTTGATCTTCCCTTTTGCTTGCACTTGGTGGTGTAAGATCAAATAGCACATTCTTCTCGATAGTTTTTGTGGGATACTTTTCCTCAGTGCTCCCTCCTAGGTGATCCACAACAGATGGTGAAACTTGGGTTGAGTGTTCACGTAGGGAACCATCAATGGAAGTCACAGCTGCTACAATGATGGTTGAATTAAATGTGAACTTATGTTTGCAGAACCACCACCTACACAAGTTTCATCTTCATTTTCTGTGCTGTTCATAACAAGCTTTGCTCTTTGACATTTCTTATTTAGAATATAGAAGAAGACTAGGAAGAAGAGTTCTTTGCTTTGTTCCGCGTTATCACCAGTTTTCCTACCTTTTTAACTAAGACCATTCTGCTCTTTACTTGCAGTATTTCAGTTGAAGAGAACTCCACTTATAATGGACAGAACAAAAGCAAGACAAGAGAAATAACAGCATCCACTATCTCTGTAAAGCAGTTTTGACCACGGTGAACAGGATGATTCCATTATGTAAATACAGCAACAACAGTAATTTTTTTTTCATTTAAGATTTCACTGCCTCATATATGTTACAGTAACTCATCTCCAAACAGACAGACTCCAACTATGAACTGGAGAAAAAGATCCTTCACTGACATGAAACACATAAATATACCACACGTGAAAGATGTACGGCATGTTGGAAACATACTACTGCTGTGATTTAATAGGAAATCTATTGCCTAAATGATCTAAACAGTGGTTTATTATAAGAGGATTGCTGCCATACCACAGAGACGAGGTGATGGAAAAGCTAATCAATAACCCATCAGCAGTCCACCAAAGGGGCTGACAGACATGCAGACCCCTGCTCTAACTCATGGCACTTTACATAAAGCACCATGAGTTAAAGCACCCCCCACAACCAAATACACATTTGCCTGATGGGTCGAGGGCGTGGGGGAAAGATGGAGCCTGTCTCTGGAGCCCCTGCAGTGGAGGGACCACCCCTCTCCCCCAGCCCCACCACCTACTCCCAGCTCCACTGCTGTCTGCAGGATGGGAGTGGGGAGAAGGGAAGAGGAGTGAGCTGCAGGCTGGAGTTTGCCCAGCTGAGCTAGAAGAGGAGGTGGGGGGGGACTATGAGGCAGGGGGGCTCCAGTTCACCATCCCCTCCCTCCCTCCCTCCCCAGCTCAGGCCATGCAAACCCCAGCTTGCAGCTCACTCCTCCTCCCTTCCCCCTCCCTTTCTGCAGACAGCCCCAGGAGTAAGGCTGGGTGACTGCACCAGAGATTGACCCTAGGGAACAGAAGTAGAGTGCCTTCTCTTCTGTAGAGTGCCTTCTCTAAAATAGAGTGCCTTCATCTGATCTCTCATTTGATGAGGATTAATAAGTCATGTAATCAGACACTTCTAAAGCACTCAGCAGCCATGCATGTGAGTCATGGCACTGAGGCCTGATCATGCAACAAAAGTAACTTCTGTGTACACCCCAAATGTATATTCCTAAACCACAGTTTTACCATAACAAAACCCAAGGGTGATATAATAAAGGCTAACGTGAGCCCAGTTGAAAGAAGTTTGACTTTGGGACCACAAACAAATGCCCTTATCATTTTTGAAGGATATGGAGAATTTTTTCTTAGTTACATATTAGCAGTTATTGTGAAATTCAACTTTTGAATGCCATTGTATATTTTAGTGTTGACATGTATAAATTGCACTGAGGGAACCACTCTTGACCTGTGAATAAAATAAGAGATTTCTATACTGCTGTTAATGCTATTTACAATAAACTAACAGTAAAGGAGAGAGGGGAAATGCTAAGAAATAAACCAGGCTGTCATGAAAGTATTCCTAAAAATTCCTTTCCATATAATGTAGGGAGACAGAATTAACTAATGCCTGGCATTTGGAATATGATATTTCCGTTGCAACCTATTTTAGTCACATAGCTGGTACCTGAATGAGAAGTTTCATTTTCTTCATGTTCTCTCATATTTGGAGGAATAAGTCCATGTAGCATGCTATCCCCA